TAAGCAGATTTTTTTCAAAAAGTATCATTTTTTATTATTTGTTGGCATTTTTTGTGTATTTTATGAATTTTTTTAGTATCGCCTGTTATTTAGCATTATTACTGTTTTTATTTTATCAGGATATACCGCTTAGTTTAAAAGTTATTACGTTTTCTTTACAATAAGTAATTTGAAGAAAAAAAATTCTATAAAAAATTAAAAAAAAATCTCAAAAAATTTTTGACCTCTTTTTTGTCGATAAAAATAGATCTAGTTTCATCTATTTTCATATGTACACTTTAACGTGACTCACACTGTATTTAAAAGTGTGGTTTACTAAAAGTGACAGATCAAACTCGTAATTACGAGTAATAAGTTCTAGTTCTTCAAGTCCTAACTACGTTCATTGAAATCTCCTTACACAATACACATGCCTTTTATGCTTGGCTTTTATGGCATAACAAGTACCCCTGTTCTAATAAGTTTAAGATTTTACGCGAGTTAAATTGTTCGGCAAGTTATACGAGTATAACTTAATTAGAAAATTAATAAGAAATAACTTTACAACGACAGGGAAATGGCGCAGTTGGTGTAATTCAGGGAACATAATTTAAGCAGTTAATTACAACTAATTTTCAATCGCCTTTGATTGCTTTATCAATAAATTAAATCGTCAGCTGTCAGTCTTGAGCAGGGATATTATGGATATCCGTATCCGTAACCGAAACTTTCGGATATCCAAAATAAAAGAACATTCGTAACCAATTCAAGAATTTCGAATAGGTTCGGATGTAAGCAGACAGTCTAAAATGTTCTTTATGTTTCTCTGGCATAATCATTCATAATAATATTTATTTGTCCGATTGTAAAATCAAAATAAATTACTAATTTTAGTCTACAAATAAAAGTCAAATCTTGTAATTTGTTTAACTTATTTTAAAACCGAAATTCTCCGAAAATAATTTTATATCAGTAACCGAAACCGCTATTATATAATTCCTATAATTATCCGTCACGCGTCACCGTATCCATAACCGAAATTACATATCCATAACATCCCTACTCTTCAGATATTTGCGTGGGCCAATTACTAGAGTTAATTAATTTAGTAGCTTTTCCAGGAATATTCCCACTTTTCCCACGTGCATTTCGATTTGTCACTACAACATTTATTTACTTACATAGATTTTGGATAGTGGACGTCTTTCGGCTGAAACGAACGAACATAGATTTAAGTGTGTCACAGAAAGGATTTTTTCCTGTTCTGTTAAAAACATACTCCTGTTGGACGTTGTTTAATGTTTTATAGGACTTCGTACGCGTGGATCCCGTTTTACCCCATTAGGGGTTGAATTTTGCCTTTTTTCTATAAGGCTCATGCTCATATTTTGTATGGGGGTTATACAAAATTGGAGCACTTGTAGTTTCTGAGATTTTGTGATGAGCGAGTAAGTCAGTGACCTTTCGCTTTGATAAATATACATCATCAACAGCCCTTTACAGTCCACTGCTGGACTATGAGCCTCCTCCACTATAGTGGAAGGTTTTGCCATAATCTCCACGCTAGGCAGGCGGGTTGGAGATCGCAGTTTAAAAAATTGATGTTTTTCAGAGAGCGCTGCTGCCCATTCTCTGTTTGATGTGTAGTCCCTAAGTCGCCTCTTACGACACCCGCGGGAAGAGTAGGGGTTGGTGACAAATGTATTCTACTCTGCCGTCACCACACGGCTTAAATATACATATGTAGTGATATTCCGATAAACTAGCGTGGTTTAAGTTACAAAAAATGTAACTTGTATTGTCTCTTCCCTGCGTGATTGAATCAGAAATGAGATCCGCAGGAGAACCAAAGTGACCGCCATAGCTCACAGAATTGCTAAAATCAATTGGCAGTGGGCGGGGAACATAGCTCGTAGAGGCGATGACCGTTGGGGCAGAAGAGTTCTCGAGTGGCGACCACGGGCTGGAAGACGTAGCGTGGGCAGGCCTCCTACTAGGTGGACCGACGATCTTGTAATGGTCGCGGGAAGAACCTGGATGCGGGCAGCGCAGGACCGTTCATTGTGGAAAACCTTGGGGGAGGCTTTTGTCCAGCAGTAGACGTCATTTGGCTGAAGCGAATGAACGAACAGTACTCTTAAAGATTTTCGTTCCGAAATAGCGCCTATTAAAACTTCGCAAGTTGCCTCAATATGCAGTTACCTGTACTTTACTAAGCCTGTCTTTTAATGAAGAATATTGTATAGAATAGAGACGATATTAATATCAATCTCCATTCAGTAGAGTCTCAAGTCTGGAGGGAAGCCTTAGAACAAACATTCACGTGTCTTTCATATGCACGAGTAAGAAAGTTTTGTATGAAGACGCGATATTGTATCTACTAGTAGATACTCGTGTAGAGAAGTTATAAAAACTGTTTCAAGGAAAAGTTGACTTTCAATGATTTGTCCTTGAAAATTACGTACATTAGCATGTATTAGTTATGTTTGGGACTCTACATTACTTTTGTAACATCACTCATAATACAAGTAGGATAACATGCTACACAATGATTAGTTTAATGTGATTTTTTCTATCAAACAATACTAAATTTCAATTGTAGGGTAGCTACTATTATTTTACTATGGTATTTTTTTAGCCTTACGACTTATCTTTATCCTTCTTAGACAAAGGACAATGACCAAAAGTGGTCCAAATGTCCACCACCAATGAGACCTATATTGGCTTATAGTCCATTAAATAGAGATTAACTTTCAATATGGGACGAAAAAAAAATGAGCTGTCAGTAAAAAGTTATGACTGTTTTAAAAATTGTAGTAGTTTACGCTCTAATCTCAGGAACTACTGGTCCGATTTGAAAAATTATTTTTGTTATGGATAGCCCATTTATCATGGATGGTTTAAGGATAAATAACATCACCCTACAACCAATAGGGGCGGAGCAGTAAAGACAAATGTTGTAAAAATTAACTGAACCGGGAACTATTATTCAAACTATTTTCATGCGTACAAAGTCGTAGGCACAGTTAGTATGATATTTAATAAAATTCATCTATAACATGCGTAGATTAGTTCAAAATGTGCAATGTATAGAATGATATCAAGAACATTTTTCGGATGAAAAGGTAAAAAACAGACTTTTCATTCAGTCATAACTTTTTACTGACAGCATATTTCTGATTGCGGTTTGGTTATAATGAATCAGTATTAAGTAGACTATTTTACTACATAGGTCTCGTTAGTGGTGGACATTTGGACCACACTCCATACATTTTTGGTCATTGTCCTTTATACGTCGCTACTTAGAATAGAATAGAAAACTTTTTATTTGCAAGAAAGGTATACAAGCAGGCAAGACATAGATACATAGTCCTAAAGTAAGTAAAGCTATAAATACTATTACTACCTATCTACAGGGTGTTTGTTGGGAATGTTTCCTTTGAGCAAAATTTTTCTATCTACAGTATTAAGAAGACTTTCCCTCCAGGTGGCATTACAAAATTCCACCCTGTATAGGTAGATACTACTGAGTTACCCATAAGCAAGCCCCATGTTATGTTTGTCTGGTATTTTGGTTACATATTTGTACCCTTCTATATTGAGGAAATAATCCCACGCTATCCCTATCACCCGAGTCTCTATATTGGTCACATAGTGGCATTAATATGGCTGTAATATGACCTTTGACCCTTAACTAATTTGATAAAAAAATAGCAAGTGTAGTTAAACTGACGATTTCCTAAAAATATTTATTTAATAATGCCCGGTTATTTTTTTCCAATAGTCGGCCGTTTAGTGTAGTGGTTCAGAACGGACTACTATGCCGAAAGGTCCCGGGTTCGATTCCCGGCCGGGCAGAAATTGAAATGATGAATTTTAATTTCTGTGACGGGTCTGGGTGTTTTCTATGTATTCGTATGTATTTACAAAAAAAAAAGTATTTAAGTATGTTTATATCCGTTGTCTAGTACCAGCTTTACTTAGTTTGGGGCAGTGTAAAATCTCCAAGGATATATTTTTTTTAAATCTTTCAAATGTATTTACTTATTTTTAGCATAGGATACTACAAGAGTTTGCCTATGAAGCCACGATAGCCGAACGGTCAAGGGGTCGGACTGGCCGACTCCAGATCCGAGGAACGCGGATTCGAACTCCGCGCTCGACTATTGTGGTGAGCCCACTCGTGACACAAGCATAAGTACTTAGTTTACCACGAGAGGCTAACGGGACTACGTGTATTGTTCAAATCTTTAAACATAAAAGCGAAAGGTCACTGACTGACTCACTTATCACGAAATCTCAGAAACTAAAAGACCTAATAACTTGAATTTTGGCGGGTAGGTTCCTGGATGTAGACATACGAAGTTACTTGCCTTAATATTGCTGGTCTAAGCTTAGCTTTTCTCAGCGTAATCAGTTATAAGACATTTTTGCGTTATCAGTAAAGCAAAGTAACTATAGTCTTTTTCACGTAAGATGATCCGTATGACACTTCAAGGTTATCCATATTACGCATACTACATTAAATGCAGAATATTTTTGAAAAAATATTTGTATTTTATTAGCAATATGATAAAAAAAGAAAACTACCTTGTCTTGAAATATATNGTTCCTTCGCCTTCTTATAAGCTTAAGAAGTTGGAGCGCTAACCTTACGGTGAGAGCAACCTTTACAAGCCGCAAAGATGTTTTTGGCTCTCTGAGAGTTTGAAGCTTCGTATTGCTCTCATTTTTGGCGCCACAATGTTGGTACTTGGTTTTTTAGATAGCTTAAATAATAGAGTTTTTGTAGTAATGAAGAATTTTTATAAATTATATTCCATTTGCTTATTATTTGAGCTAGAAAAAAAACTTACGAACTTACGTACTATCACGAACTAGTAGCCGTTTACCTTAGTCATTGCTGTCACGAGCAATGTGTTCTGTTTTTGGGCATATTGCTGCGACACGGGCCCCGCCCCTTTATCAATCTCTCTTTAATTTCTGTGATCTGTGTTCTCAATCAATCCTTTCTTCCCCAGAATGCTGTACACATCCATCCCTGTCTACTTCCTGCTGCTGGGCGCGGCGCTGTGCGCGCCGGAGCGCGTGCAAGTGGACGACGTGCGCGAGCACGACGCGCCCGACGCGCCCGCGCACGACTTGACGCACGTCGCGCCGCTCGAGAAACGGTCCCCGCACTACGACTTCGGTTTGGGGAAGAGGGCGTATAGCTATGTGTCGGAGTATAAGAGGCTGCCGGTCTACAACTTTGGATTAGGGAAAAGGTACGCTTTTTAAAACAACTAATGTTTGTTAGTTAATAAGGCTGGATTGCACCATCTTACTTTAACATTAACAAACGTCAAAAGTCTGTCAAACTCCATACAATAGTTACGGTTAAGAGCGTTGTCACATTTTTCATGCAGAAATCGAGAATTTGGCAGATTTCGAAATGATTTTAGTCATATAATTTATTGTTATAGCTTCTTTTGACNATCATCTTAGGTGAAAAAGACTATACTAGTTGTCTAAATGCATCTATTCACCAGATAAATATGAGTATACGTTGATTGTTTCTTTGGGTCTTCACAATTAATACTGTATTCACAATAAAATTAACACTCTAATATTTATTTTTGCCCCGTTTATTTTAACATATCAGGTTATTTAGAATCACGTGATGTGTAAACTTTTTCATTATCATTTATCAGACTAAGCGTGTGCTTTAGGGAGTCGTATAAAGGCATAATAAAGGCCACATTTGGCCTCATTAGAGGTAATCATTTGTATGAGCTCTGCCAAGGCCTTGCTGATGGTGTAATGAGAGTGTTCTTTATTACAAAAGTTGGTTAAAAGGAAGCCTTTCCTTTTTTTACAAAAACAAATCTTTATTAATTTTTTCACAAGTTTTCAATTACAAGTAGGTACATAACTATATTAATCTACTTTATATATTATATTATATTATATTAATCTATATCTATCTATATAATACTAGCTGACCCGGCGAACTTTGTTCCGCCTTAATGGCAATAAATAACGGGATAAAAAGTATCCTATGTCCTTCTCCTGGCTCTAAACTACCTCCCTGACAATTTTCAGCTAAATCGGTTCAGCCGTTCTTGAGTTATAAGTGGAGTAACTAACACGACTTTCTTTTATAATATAGATATAGATATCTGTATTAATTTTAACTGTGGAAACTTTGCTGATTTCTGTCCTATTTTTTGTGTGATTATTTGTCTATCAAAATTGTTTGCTTCCCTAATATAAATAAATAAATAACAATAAACGCATTTTACAACAATATTTACTGTGAAGACTGGTGCTTGATATGGGTTGAGACAACCTTAATACAAGACAGTTCTCCACCTCTTAGACTGGTAGTAACGCAAAAAAATGCTTCTAAACTAACATAATTCAACAGTTAATATAATGTATTTTTCTCTAATAACACCGGTCAACAAAAAAAATTTTTTTGCGCATGGATTTTACTTATTATATTCTGATTAAAAAGCAAATTTATATAAAAAAGTGCGATTACAAATCGAAAATATTTGCTTTTTAAAGAGTTATAGCGATTTGAATTTTTCATCTTCATAGTAGAATGTCTCTAAAGATGCACGTCACATTCTCATTAGGATATGTTTATAGATAATTATGGGGGCTTATTCGCAAGAACAAGGGGCACTCTTTCATTAAAATATAGTGGGATTTGAGAGACGACGTTACCAAGGCCAGTAAACTGAAAGCATGATAGGGTTAGATTTTATGAGAAAAATCTTCTATGGAACATGACAGGAAATTAGAACTTTTCATTTTTAATAAATATTTGGACTCTATTTAAATTTTTCTCTTGTGAGAATGAATCTTAAATGGATGCTTTGTATGTTTTAATAATTAGAAAGAATGAAAGAAAGATAGAAAAAAATATATTTGACAACAAATTTTATTATCTCTATGTTCATGTTTCATACATTCATTGATATGAATTTTTCTATTTTATACACATAAAAGCAAATTCAGTATTTTTTTTTGTTGTTATTCTTATTTCTAGGTATTAAAGCAATAAAAATAAGCTATGCATAACCCGTGCGCAAAAATGCTGTAGTAGACAGTTGTAATAGCTAATTAATGTTACAAAAGACATAACAATTTAAAACGTGTGGTGTGTGGTGAGTGAGGGATGTGTGGTGATGTTTCATAAAGGTTTTTAGAAAGAGTTCGTATGACCGAATAGCTCACTGCTTTAGTCTTGTTCTTCTTCTGTCTTTGTTTATGGATAGCTTTTACTTTGTTCTGATCTAGGAATCAGTTTTATTCTTTACGTTCTGGAAATTCTTGAGGGAGGCCTTTATCCAGCAGTGGACGTCATTTGGCTGAAACTAAACTAAACTCGGCGAACATTGGGTTTAATGTTTGTCCATCTAATAAGTTCGTTTGTTAACGTAAGTGTGTTTTAACATTATCATTCTTGATAAGCCTTAATCGCAACATTATAAAATTGTTAAATCTATTACATATAAAAGCAAAAGGTATATACTGACTCACTCATCACGAAATCTCAGAAACTACAAGTGCAGTGTACCTACCATGAGTTTACGTTAGGTGTGCTCGCTAGCGAAAACGTCAAAAATCTCTATGGAGATTTTGTTTCTTGAAAGTAGCCGCTAGGGGCGCTGCACAATATGTCATACAATTAATGTCATTTTTTTACGCAGTCGCTAGCGAGCACACGTAACGTAAACTCATGGTAAGCACACAGGAGTCTCAAATTTTGCATGATAGTTTCTATTAGAACGTAGGTGCTAACTAAGACGGGATTTTGCAAAATTCAACCTCTAAGTGGGTAAAACGGGATCCACGCGTACGAAGTCGCGGGCAGTCTACTAGTAAACTATAAAATCTCGACACGTAATCCCAAAATACTCGTATTTTTTCAAACCCATTCGAAAAGACATGTCATAAAATGATATTTTTGCTTTTAGGGTTTCGTGGAAGAAACACGTAGCTACTTAGCGGCTTCTGATATTTATGTCGTATAAATTTTAACGATTCCAGCAATGCCGCAATCTAAGTATTAAAAAATCCTGAAAAAATGTAACTGGAATTACTTCCTATTTCAAAAGTTTTAGTTTGCTCTACAAGTAGGTAGTTAATTTGCGAGTATGAGTATTTCTAGTAAAATTATATTTTCATCATCATCTTTTCAGCCACAGGACGTCCACTGCTGAACATAGGCCTCCCCCAATGGTTTCCATATTGACGGCGCCTTCCTGCTACCTTTATGAGGTCGTCGATCCACCTTGTGGGTGAAGATCAGTCAATTTGTTTATTTTTAGCCTTTATTAAGTAGTTACAAAGTACAAAAGACGTTAATTAATACGTTAAACAGTGCATTATCTATCTCCTTAATCTTCCAGCATTTTACACTTCATCTACCTTCCCATTCTTCAAGCTCAACGTGATTGAGAAAGGATTACGCCAAATCCTCCAAACTTCGAAATATCCCACCTAATCACATCTACCCAATTAGCCGTCTTAGAAAAAGGTTAGAAACCTTCGTAATATCCGTGGGCGACCCCCAGACCTTTATACAGGAAGGTGATTTCCTGCTTAATCCGGGATTAACGCAGGAAAATGAGGAATTGTAACAATCTTAGCTGCATTTTATAACTGGGCAAATGAAGGTATTGGAAAGGTTGGAATTCTTTTAAGGTATTACAGGCGAGCTACACTGAACGCTACAAATGAGCCATTGAGCGCATAATAATGTGTCACAGTGTCAGCATAGCATCGAGTGGGTGTTTATTTCATAGACTTATAAAAAAGTGATTTCGTACTTCGATACCTATATGCTGGATTTCTATATTCAATCCTAAAGTCAAATTGCAATATGTTTTTGGTCAAAATATCTGCGGTTTTCGATTATTTAAACAATGTTAAAGTTTAAACGCATCGAATACCTACTGTGGATACTTAATTCAATTTGATAGTTGAAATCCGAATTTGGACAAGGATTGAATATGGGAAACGGGCGATAGTTCATACAGTCAGTAGAGCTTGGTAGATAGATTACTAAGTTTTACCCGCGACTTTGTCTTATGACTTTGTTTAATTGTAGCCTAAGTATGAGATTTTTTGATAATTTGTAGTAAAGTTTTACTAAAATCTGTCCTCTCCAACCGTTCTTTCGTGAAGGAGTAAAAAAATCCATCCAAATTCAAATTCAAATATTAATAAAACTTCCACTCTCAGAATATTAATAAAATTACTTACATTACTTTAACCATTTTCTTACCGAGAAAGTCTTGTAACATTGACGATTTTACATTTTTTTTATTAGTAACTATCACAAAACATAATCGAAACCATCAAAATTGAATGCTGCAGTACTGGCCCTAAGCAGGCACGTTTTATCATCGCCCTGGGAAAGACCCTACACATTGGTTAGCTCAAAACAGTATTAGCTCTGAATATTAAATGATATTGAACCAAAAAGGTTATATTTGGTAACTAGCGGCCGCCCGCGACTTCGTACTCGTAAAATCCTTTCTTAGCAATTTGGCAGGTAGATGTTATGACGTAGACATCCACGTCATAACATCTACCTGCCAAATTTCAGCCCGATCCGTCCAGTGGTCTGGGCTGTGCGTTGATAGATCACTATGTCAGTCAGTCAGTCAGTCACCTTTGAGTTATATATGTATATTTAGATTGATTGATTGAAATTGCTCGGATCAAACTCCCCGCACCCCGCGCTTCCCTCGACCAAAAATTGGTGGGGCGCGTCTTCGTGGATGAAACGATCTATAAATTCCAAACTTCACAGACTAGGAAAGATTTTAGCTCTGTAACAATTCTTTTGTACAAATAGTAATAGTTTTAACTAAGTAATTGTCACCAAAGTAATCCGTGTAATGTTACATTTTATGACAAAACTCCAATGTTCAATTAACAAACAGAGAACACAAGCTCCAAAGCCCGAATTGCAGTTATATTACGAGCGATTCAAGGAAGACATTACTAAGTTTTCAGTATGTCTTGTGTTGTTGAGATTATATCTAAGTAAATAGTAGTAACTTAAACTATTTACAATGTTATACATAGCTTGAAGAAATCTCTATCATAGAGATAAGGTCACCAGAACTTTCTGTAGTTTGCATAATTTCCGAAGGACATGTGTATACTAATTAAAGAGAAAAGATTTGTTTCTTTGTATTGAATGGGCTCCGAAAGTAAGTACCTACTGTACCGATGGGAAAATTCTTTCACCATAAGAATCCTGCATTATTTCTGATGAACTTAAGCGGTACGATTTTAGCCGGGGCAACTAGTGCGCTATAAATTCAATTTGTTACAGAGCGAAATTGATTCAAAACAGTATTTTTATTATAGGTCTGGCGCTTTTTTAACTCAATCAGTCCCTGAAGTACCCTATAGGTACCGGCACGGAAGGGGTGACACAAAAATAGTATGTAAACTCATAAAAAACTAATTTATTTCTACAAATAGGCTTTAAAAAAGCACTTTTACTTACACGTCCCAGTATTAACCCTACCACTGCTTCAGGACAATAAATGGGCCAGTGCTGAGAAGAAGCAGCGCAAGAAACTCAGTCACTATTGTCAGCCTCTTTTTCAAAGATATGACGTGACAGCATACAAAGCTGAAGCTTATCTGAAGTCTCGCTGAGGTTTAACGTCTCAAAAACACCATCCGGTGCCACTCCCATACCTCAAGCACTGAGTTAAGCATAGTACTACACCTAGTTCAAGAAATAGTTTGTAAATAACATTCGGTATAACAAATCAAAAAGTATCATCTTTTCAGCCACAGGACGTCCACTGCTG